AACATAACAACATTGCAAATCCTGCATGTAATCCTATTGATCTTAACACTTTGTTGTCCACCTAATTAATTAGAATTTTCTCACCTGTTAATGAAACTTATTAGAATTAGATAATGAATAGAATTAGCACGGTATATGCTATTAATAAATCTTGTGTCTTGAATGGACTCACATGAACTCGGTGTAATCCTGCTGTAAACCAGATTTTTTAAATGGTCCCGACCAAGTCTGAACTGGACAGATTCCACTGTATATTAACTAAATAGGGAAATGTTTTACTTCTAATGTGGGAATTTTAATGACGTTTGCTGCAGACTTGTGGCGAAACATCGGCCTCTGAGCTGGTCTAGATAATTCCCTGCCATCCATTTACTGGTAAGTCAGGATAAGTTGAGCTTAGTGACCTGAGAATTGCCTGCTGGAGCATACCCTTGTGATGAAAGGGGTAGTGGGTTGTCTGCGACAAGCAGTACAATGGATATGTGCATGTCCTGTCTCGGCTAACAATGAGTTCTAGTGGCAAGTTCAATAGCACAGAATAGTATGTGCTGATGTGAGGTACCCGATGACTGTGAAAACAGTGACAGCAAATTTGCATGGATAACAATTGAGAAGTATCATGACAGACAGACCACTGGCAATGCCAGCTCTTGAAAATGCTTGAGATATATTTGTACATTCTTTCTCCATGTAATTCATGACATTATAGGCCAATTCTTGAGCCAGAGAATGTGTGATTTAGCCATGCTTACCTCGCTTTGACATGTTTATTTGTTTGTAATTAACTTTTATAAAACGGCTTTTAGAGAATTCTGATATCGACTTGTCACACCGACCCTTAATAGTCTTATGAGCAACACGTGTGTCCATGGGAAAGTAGTCATTTTCGTCGTCATGACCTGCACGTGCACAACATGCGTACACCCTCTCCAACTCTAACAAACCAAATATGTTTGCCCAAATTCTGTACACCACCCACTTGTCTCAAACCCGTTTTGTGAGTTGGTTCAACTTATCCTGGACTACCAGTAATATTCTAAGCAGGGGATTTTTGATAGAGACAGAATATTTTCTAGGTCACTGCTTTAAGAGACACATGTTTTTCCAAACATTCATCTGTGAACCAATAATATATTTGTCCTGGTGTGAGTTCAGTGGGTAAATCTCTGTATGACACACATAAATCCCCAATGACCATGATCTGTTAATAGGGCATATGTTACTCTGGCATGGCAATCAGCCGAGAACTATTTAGTATCTAGTGTTACACTGAAACACTGCATTACAGTAACATCCTGCTGATGGTGTTGTGTGCTGCTGCAGTAAGCTATACTATCATCTCCATCGTAGGATAGGTTGTTATCAAGCTTTTGGTAACAGTTGTACTGAATAGCTTAGGCCACACATTTTTGTTTTTCGTTTCACTGGCCCATTGCCCCTACTGAAAATCAGCTGGAAAAGAAATAAATTAAACAGATAGAGATTTATTTTTATTGTATCTTCTGCTAGTAATATAGACCCTCTCACACGATATTAAATGTTATATGTCAATTCCATGTCTACATCACTATCAGTTATTCAAGAAGCCAGCTGCAGCTTTAACTCCACGTCAGAATGACTTTTACGTAAATACATAAATGATTAACATTGCTATTTATTTATATTTTTATTGACCAACCTTGTGTGGAAAAGCTGGAATAAATCCTTGAAACATAAAATTAAAAAAGTGTGGCCTTATGTAAAGGTTAACATGTACACAGTAGGGATGGGATGGGTACCCGGGTCTGCTTGGTACTGAGTAGGACCCGGATACCCACAGGACTACCCGGACCCGTGGTTAGTCACGTGATATATTGTTTAATGACAAAAATTATCAAGAACTCTATGGTTACACTACAAGTAACTAATGTTCGCATTTCTTTCTGACTAAGCACCCATTCCTTCTGATTATTCATATGGTTGAATAAAGATGTAACTTAATTCAGCTTCAGTGTATGAATGACCAGATTGTTTAATACATGTATCTAAATATGTTTTGCCAGGGCTATGCTAAAAATGTACCCAATCGGACATTTTGAGACATCTCCTGAGACCTACAGTGGGTACCCAGGTAGGGTTGGGTCGGGTAATAGGGGGATGGGTACCCAGGTAGGGTTGGGTCGGGTAATAGGGGGGTGGGTACCCAGGTAGGGTTGGGTCGGGTAATAGGAGGGTGGGTACCCAGGTAGGGTTGGGTCGGGTAATAGGGGGGTGGGTACCCAGGTAGGGTTGGGTCGGGTAATAGGGGGGTGGGTACCCAGGTAGGGTTGGGTCGGGTAATAGGGGGGTGGGTACCCAGGTAGGGTTGGGTCGGGTAATAGGGGGGTGGGTACCCAGGTAGGGTTGGGTCGGGTAATAGGGGGTTGGGTACCCAGGTAGGGTTGGGTCGGGTAATAGGGGGGTGGGTACCCAGGTAGGGTTGGGTCGGGTAATAGGGGGGTGGGTACCCAGGTAGGGTTGGGTCGGGTAATAGGGGGGTGGGTACCCGGGTAGTAAATTTGGCCTCGTCCCAGCCCTAGTACACAGGTGGCCCAGTGGAGGAGGGTGATGCTGGGTGGTCAGTTGTATCACTTGACCAACAAGGATTGAATATTCATTGGAAATATCTGCGAACACCTTGAGGTTTGATGGGATGTAGTACTCAAGACAGATTTTTTATTGAAAAAAGGTGAATTGTTTCACGGAAAACCTGTGTAGTCAGTGCAAAACTGATAAAAGTTTTATTATTATTAAATGCCCCAATCTGATAAGTGCCCCCTGACTAACTTTTTAGACAATCTGGTCCTAATCTTTAGCTTGAAAATTTCTGTATTGTCTGACAGTCTGTATTTTATTATTGATGTTGCAGATCTTTTTACAGTAATCAAAGTCCTACATCATGACTGTGGAATATATTTTTTTTATGAAACAAATCCAATCTAGATATATATACACGAGCATGCCTAGCCAGCTCTAGCTAGCACTGATCAGCCCCAGGAAAATTATGTATTTTAGTTTTTGAGGAGAGAAATGCTTTGTGTAATATAAGATTTCATAGACTATTTGTTAGTCTACAGTAACAGCAGTGTAGAACATTTTGGAAAGGGTTTATAATGCCTTGTAGCCATCATTGAAAATGAATTATTTTTATGGATGTTAATCTTTTCTCTTCCGCTCAATCTATGACAACAAGTTTAACTTGTGTATGGTTTTACTGTGCCCCTAGTCGACTTTCTAAACGCACAGGGCACTCACTACTGCTAATACGGTACTATTGAATTGTTAATTTTTCAGGTTACCTGTGTAAAACTTGGTAGAATTAGGGATAATTGATATGTCTATAGGTTTGCGTTAAAAGGAACAAAACAAATCCTGTTTGCGGGATTTTACAGATTTCATTTTTAGGGTTGGCCGATCTGTGTAAAAATTATTGCCACGAATGAAGAAATCCTCTGTTATTACAGTCTTGTTGCTTTGTGCGATCATGAGTGCATTCATGGTGCAGATATTGACACTGATGCACAGTGATGGGGAACACCTGGGCCTCCCTTCCCACAGATATCAGGTGAACGCAATCTCTCATTACACCTCAATAGTTAATAATCACTTCAGGTAATCGGTACTTTCTGCTTAGAAACAAGTAAGCATGGGTTATGTTTTGCGGCATTTACCACTCAAAGGAAGGGAACTTATCATGTTTGTGCAGAATCACTTTTCATCAGTAGATAAATGATAAAATTACTTCCTTTTTTTGTAAGCACACATCAAAGAACAAATCTAAAATAATTGTCCCACTGCATCAATTTTGACATTTCACAGCCATTTGATGTAATTGGGAATGAAAAATGACCTCAATATAAATCACTAAAAGACTTTAAAAAGATCTGATTTACATTTTGTTGCTGAATCAAAGCACTAAACATTTAATAACTATAAGACTAAGCACTTAGGTTTATCAGGGGATTTTCTTTTGGCAATTAAGTCTCGCTGAGAATATATATTTCATGCTGTTTCTTAAGTCAATATGTATTCCGTCAGTTTGCTTGACATTCCTTCGCCTTGAACATGTTGAGTAGAATGTGACACATCCTTGTGTGAGGGTCAAGTCTCATGTTCATAAGGGGTGGTTGGGTAGCCTAGTGCTAAAGGTATTCACTCGTGCCAAATCTCTGGGTTCAGTTCCCATACAGTATAATATGAAGCATCCCTTGCTGTGATATTGCTGGAATATTTCTAACAGTGACATAAAACAATCCTCACTCATTTTAATAAAGGATTAAGCTTGTGTGAAGCTGTCATATCCATACAGGTAATATATGGTGTTATGTTGACTTGCCTTAGATCACCTCCGTGTGATGGAGAGAGTCGAGTCGGTATTGATGGAGCGTGTTGACATTTGTATGATTTTCACAACGAGCTTGGCCTGATTGCAATGAATGATGTTGACCTGACATGAAGCTAAGTGTAAACTGCTTCCCATTCATCATGGTGTAGCAGTGGGCTCTATATTGTCTTGTGTTGGGAGCTGTGTTTTTATTTGACAAGCAAATCCATTTCAAATATTGACCCATTTGGTCGTGTCATGGCTTGTTATTGACTCCAGCACCATGAGGAAATCATACACTATGCCTACTTTTACCATTATTACCATGATTCCTCTCTCCACACACCTTGTCTGTGCTTGCGCTAAAGTGTCATTACACGGCAACAGCGTATTATCCTTCTCTGGTGTTTACAATAGTACTTACGCTTCATAGATGAAGCATTGATTGTAAACAATTGCAAATTTTTCTGTCCTCCATGGGCTTGGTAGCAGTAATATTGCTAATGGAAAAACCACCAGTTTGTCCAGACCTTTGGCATGAATGCATTGTGATAAAATTCATTATGGACTGTGTATGGGCTGCATAATCATTAGTGAGGTGCGATGTCCACACGAAGCTCTTGGCACCGTCATCGGTAGGGTTGTAGTGCAACTGTTGACTCCGCAAACATTGATGGCAGGAGTGGCATAGAGAGGAGGTTCAGAGCGAGCAGACGACGGTTGACAGCAGCAGCATCAACTGTGCGGTCTGGAGATTCTCACCGATGTTCCTCAATTGATAATGCTCAGTCAAGATTAACGAGGGTCAATTTGCATGGTGGATTGGCTGAATGGGATGCCTTGGATTGCAGTGTAGGTTTGGTGTGGCAGCGCGGCAGAGAGGAAGTGGGCCTTGGTGTGAGAAGCGTGCAGTGTGTGGGGAAGCAGCCCATGTGACACAAGTCTCAGAGATGACTGCGGCTTTTCTCTGTCACAAGTGAAGCAATTACAATCCTCTAAGCTGTCATTATCGAAGATGTCTTGAATTTTGCATCTGCTTCATTCAGTGGTTAGCTATTGCAGTGGTATGAAGCAGGCAGGCAGTGAATAGTTTCAGTGAAAACTGGTTTTAATGCCTTACAACTCGGCTCAAGCTTGCAGAAGAAAACTGACAGCTTTGTTGGAAGCAGACGGACTCTTCCTGTGTTTTTGTGCACTTCTTACCATCCCTTTTTTCTCGCAGATACTTGAGTGCACGTGCTTCCAGTAGTGGGGATGATTTGGGGAAAAGTAATTTTCCTGTAAAACACAGCCTCTTCCTGGTATAATTGCTGCTGTGGTGCAGTTATTGTAGCAATCAAATGGTAATTGAAGACAGTTACCGTGGCGACTTGAACATTGCCAGAGGACATTGTGGCATTATATAGTGTCATCAACTGAAAAACAGAAGGAATGGAGCATTGTGGCACTTTACAATTTAATGTCTCCTTCATGAATATTCATTGGAAATATCTGCAAACTCCTTGAGGGTTGATGGGATGCTGTACTCAAGACAGATTTTTATGAAAAAAGTGAATTGTTTCACAGAAAACCTGTTTGTGTAGTCAGCGCAGTATTGACAAACTTTGATACCAGACTAACAAGAGCGTCTTCAAAGACTGTGAAAAGATTTTTAATGTGATAGCCTTCCTGTGAACATGACCGCTGGCTGTTCTCTGAATATTGATAATCTTGACCTGGCCTTACCTCAAATGGAAAGTTGATATAATTTTGTAGCAATTGGCTGAATAATTGGACTGTGCATTCACGTGGCCCTCGAAAAGAAGAATCAATTGGCAGTATTTGTGATATCAACTCTTAAAGACAAAACACCTTCGGGAAATACGAGGATATAATAGCCTTTCTTTTTATTGTTGAAGTTTGGACAAACTATTGCTGGGATTGCGTCAGAGTTTGAAAAAACCCTGCAATGATCATTTTGACAGCCTGTCTTTTATCTCACAGAAAATTCAGGCAAGCTTTGCGCTGACAGAATCATGGTGCCGTTTACGTCATGCCTTTGCTTTTCGAGAAATTGTGCTTCAAGACGATGGCGTTTTGTCCGAGGCACGATGACCCTTGACATAGCAGAGAGTGACTCAGTTGCCGATGAGGTAATACTTTCAGATTCCATGTGGCCTTTTCTATGCTCTGACGTATGCTTGAATATCTCTTTCTGTGCAACTGATCTGGGTTTAATCGGGTTAAGCAAAGTCCATATGAGGTCTCATGTAGTTCGATGCATCACTGTTTGAGATGCTATGTTGGATTTTCTGTTGAAAACTCCCATTACAAGAAAATTAAATTGCAATTACATTTTATTGATTTTTTTCCGCAATCAATCAGTGCTTTTATGTGACCAGTTGTGAAAAGTGATAATATTCCTTTGTGATGCTGTAGTAACTGTACAATGCTATTTTGTGTCTTAATCAAATTGAAAAATGTCTATCATTACTATAGGGTTTTGGCAGTGGGTTTGAATGTTTAGCAAATCTAATACACAATGAATGTGGCAAGGCAGTTTTTTCTTAACATTTAATATGATATGATTTCTCTTCTGTCAGTGGAAATAAACAAGCATGTATCATTTTACAAAGCAATTACTCGTGTGAAGATCCGGGTTAGAATTGGCCTTCAGCAACCCATGCTTGTCATAAAAAGTGACTAAGGGATCGGATGGTCAGACTCATTGACTTGGTTGACACATCGAATCCCAATTGTCCTGATCGATGCTCATGATATTAATCATTGAAATGTCTTGTCCAGTCTCGATTATTTACAGATGATTATTTATCATATAGATGGAACATTGCTGAGTGGCGTGTTAAACAACAACAAAGCAACATACAATAATGTTGTTGAACTACAGCGGGGTATCAATGGTGACTTCACAATTTACTCAAAGCGTGACTAATCTCACATTTTCACATTTTCAGTAGAACTATGCATCTTAAGAAGGTATTACTGACAAATGGCAGCTTCTGTTGCCTCTTGTATCCCTGCACTAATATGCAATCTCTGAAATACTAGATGACCTTTCTGTATGTTATATGTAACACAATTTTGATTGCAGAAGCAGTCTAGACAGTTCGGTATTGTAAAAGACGAGTAATCTAGCTGCTGCAGTAAAAAAGATTAAAATTTACAATGTTACGTCAAGGAGGTAGAGTATCTGTGGGGAAAGAACTACATGCAAGATGAATCGTAATGGAAAGGATATTATTTTTGGACAGAGGTAATAGAATTGGAAATTCATACGTAGGCAGGTTTCATTGTGAAATTGTCACACTACAGAGACACAGTAGGGGTGAAATGTATTTTCGTGAATTTTTATGTGACGATACGATACACGATACATTTTTCCCTGCATCGATACAAGAGATACACTTGCTGAAATAAATTACTTAATACTCGTTTAATGACCCCTGGTGTTTTTGTAAGTCCGATATTGCAAAATATGTTGTAATTAGCGTTTCAAGTCCACTACCATTAATAGCCATTCCGAACGTGTGTCTACAGCTAGCTTTTCCTTTTGAACCTGCTCAGAAATATTTATTGTCAAGAAGTTTCCATGCGATTTGATGTAAATATGAGTATCGAGATACGTATCGTATCATGACCGATGTATAATGATGCTTATCGTATCGTACCTTGCTGTATCGTTTCACCCCTTCTATACAGTTGGGTATGATTGGCCATTTCATGAAATTAATATTAATATCAGCTTCAAGTGAAATGTTAAAATATATTTCTGTGTCTATTCTTGCTTTTAAAGGTTATTGTCATGTTATGTTTCATAGCCGCATTTTAGTTATGATGAAAGATGTAACAATGAAGCTCTTACAGCAAAGGGAAATATTCTCTTAAAGCATTTGAACTGAGATTCTACTGCAAACAGGCAAACTAGAATTGTTTCCTAGATCTTCAAGCAAGTAAGCAATTTGCTGTGCAGAGTTGTGTTCTTTGGGTATACCAAGACCCTATGATCATCAGTTCGAATCCCGGTTTGCCCCTATTATATTATAAAATAATTCCTATATTGCTTCATGCAAGTAAACAGATTCTGTTTCCTATATCTTACCTCATGCAAAGAAAAAAGGACTCTTTCCTATATCTTATTTCAAGCAAGTAAACAAGCACTGTTTTCTATATCTTACTTCAAGCAAGTAAACAAGGACCCTCTCCTATATCTTATTTCAAGCAAGTAAACAAGGACTCTTTCCTATATCTTACTTCATGCATGTAAAAAAGGACTGTTTCCTATATCTTACTTCAAGCAAGTAAAAAAGGACTGTTTCCTATATCTTACTTCAAGCAAGTAAAAAAGGACTGTTTCCTATATCTTACTTCAAGCAAGTAAAAAAGGACTGTTTCCTATATCTTACTTCAAGCAAGAAAAAAAGGACTGTTTCCTATATCTTATTTCAAGCAAGTAAACAAGGACTGTGTATTGTCTAATATAGACATGCTGAAGTGGTCAAACCATTATATTCCAGATCTTCTGTGTATTGTCTAATATAGACATGCAGTAGTCATGGTAGTGCCCAAACCATTATGTTCAAGATCTGTGTATTGTCTAATATAGACGTGCAGTAGTGCTCAAAACATTATGTTCAAGATCTGTGTATTGTCTAATATAGACGTGCAGTAGTGCTCAAACCATTATATTCCAGATCTACTGTGTATTGTTTAATATAGACATGCTGTAGTGCTGAAACCATTATATTCCAGATCTACTGTGTATTGTCTAATATAGACATGTCGTCGTGCTCAAACCATTATAGTCCAGATCTGTGTATTGTCTAATATAGACATGCAGTAGTGCTCAAACCATTATGTTCAAGATCTGTGTATTGTCTAATATAGACGTGCTGTAGTGCTGAAACCATTATTTTCCAGATCTACTGTGTATTGTCTAATATAGACTACTATAGTACTCACACCATTATGTTCGAAATCTGTGTATTGTCTATAATATGGACGTGCTGTAGTGCTCCAACCATTTTGTTCCAGACCTACTGTGATGTTGACTCAGATGGCATATGGATTTTGAATTATTTATTCCGTCAATGTGACATTTCTGTACACAAGCTAGTGGACTGTCTCCTCTAATTCAACAGATTCTAAAGTGCCATTTAAACATATCTTCTGTGACATTTTCCAGATGGCACTATTTTTGGCATGTAAGATGATCATATTTTCAGTTGTTTGAATCAGATTTATAATTAGCAGTCTCATAAAGCTATATTCCTAGAAATGGTTTGTACTGATAAGTAGTCGTTATACAGTGCCTGATGCTCACTTGTTTAATAGAGCGGGCTGACTTGGAGGTTGGCTGGATACATTGTGTGACTCCGCTTACTTACTTACTTACTTTAGAGATTTAACGTGCGCTTTCTGACTGATGCGTATTTCGCAAACGGGCCCAGCCAGGCCATTTAATGTGTTTCCGAAAGGGGCGAAAGTGGTCTGTGCAACCCAAGAGGGGGCTTTAGGGGTTGCTTATATAGAATTTGGGAATTTTGAGATTTGGAATAGATGCCGATGGGGGTGTGACTCCGGCTGATTTTGCGTCTTTGTATTAAGTGGCACTGATGACTGCTCATCTAATTAAAGATAGCCAGTGATTGATTGTTTCAAGCTCTGATTTATCCCCAGACAAGGATTACATTTATTATTGCTGTTCTTCAGCTCTGAAGGGTTGTCTGTCAGTGAGGGGGCTCGGGTGGCCCAGCCATCTAACACACTGCAATTCAAGGTGCAGAGTTGTGTCCCTGAGGCGTGCAAGAAATCTATGATTGTGGAGTCTAAACCTGGTTCATCATGATTATGTTTCTAGGTTTGTCAAGACCATACTCTGGGTTTCAACAAAGTGGTACACATCTGAGACCTGCATCACTTTGGGCTTTTCTCCCACATCAAGCTGACATGTTGATGTAATGTTCAAAGCATGGTTAAGCCAAACTCGCTCGGTCACTCATTCTAGCCACATGTCTTTTGGCAAAATGTTTATTAACAAGCAGCAACTTGTGCAGATGATGTGATGATTTTCGATCATGTGGTACTTTACGTCTTCCAGCCTTTTGATGCTGCTCAATGACTTCCTTGAACTACTGATTTGTCAGGTCAAGACTTGATCAGTTACTCACTAACTTAGTTCCTGATACTGTTCATTATTTGAGTTTGTCAGCTCAAGCTTCTGGGTTCTTCCGAAGTGGTACATGATTATGAGGACATATTGATTGGTTGGTTGATTGTTGTTTACCTCCGCACTCAGCAATAGTTCAGCTATATGGTAACCGTCTGTCAATTATCGAATCTGGACCAGACAGTCCAGTGATAAACATCATGAGCATCCATGCAATTGGGATATGTTCATGCGTCAACGTATGCTCCACGCGCCTCTCACGACAAGCGTGGGTTGCTGGGGACCAATATTCTTACCCGAAATCCCCTCAGATCAGCCCGAACATAACTGAAATACTCTTCATGTAAACCCGACTCACTCACACAAAGGCCCCGTGAAGATCCGGGTAGAGTATGGATAAAGAATAAATACATTCTGTGGTAACACTTAACCTAATTTTTAGATTTGTCATTAATTGGTACACATTGGGAACATCTTTTCTTAACGTATATACTTCTCTTCATGTTTCTATGGTTCGCAACCCGTGAAGATCTGGGGTAGAATAGGTCTTCAGCAACCCATGCTTGCCTCCCCGTGAAGATCCGGGGTAGAATAGGTCTTCAGCAACCCATGCTTGCCTCCCCGTGAAGATCCGGGGTAGAATAGGTCTTCAGCAACCCATGCTTGCCTCCCCGTGAAGATCCGGGGTAGAATAGGTCTTCAGCAACCCATGCTTGCCTCCCCGTGAAGATCCGGGGTAGAATAGGTCTTCAGCAACCCATGCTTGCCTCCCCGTGAAGATCCGGGGTAGAATAGGTCTTCAGCAACCCATGCTTGCCTCCCCGTGAAGATCCGGGGTAGAATAGGTCTTCAGCAACCCATGCTTGCCTCCCCGTGAAGATCCGGGGTAGAATAGGTCTTCAGCAACCCATGCTTGCCTCCCCGTGAAGATCCGGGGTAGAATAGGTCTTCAGCAACCCATGCTTG